TTCCTCATCTTCCTTCCTTCCTACCTCTTCTTTTTCGCCCTATTCGCCATTTCTACTTGGCGACCGAGCAAGACCGCCCTGTTCAAGCCTTACACCGTTGGAATTATTTATAAAATTACACGTGGCAGAATACACGAATTCGAGGACGAAGAAACTTTGTCTATAAAGAGTGTCGTTCTTTCGGTCGGATCCCAGCCTCCCTGTTCTCTTCTCGCGTCCTCGTGCAGCCCCCAATCGCGAAGGAGGATACACTCACCCGATGATGCAAGTTATTTTGGCAACGGTCCCGCGACGAGCAACGAAATTCGCTCCTTCGAGTGCTATTTTCTTCGTTAATCGAACTGGAAGGACCGGGTAATTACGGAACCGTGGGGTCGTGACCGAGTTCGCGTACTATTAAATGGCTCCGCGGGAAGAGACGGAGGATAAGTCCGAGAAGCGGAGATTATTGGCGAACGTATCGAGGAGAATAGCTCTGGAACGAGGAAACGAACGGGGCATTAACTGCTCTATCGATTGCGACTGGTAGGGAAACGTGGAGAGCAGAAGATAATTCATAAACCTTCAACCAGATCTAATCGAAGAGAATTAATCGATTGGCCGTCCCGGTATGCGTAATTTTCATCTTGTTTACGAATCGGATAAGAAGCCTGGTGTGTACGGGTAATCGACGCGTCGATGGAAGAGGAAGAACGATGGCTACAGGATGAAGTAGGGTTGGTAGCGATTCGTTTTCATCGAATTACGGTGCAACGGGCGCATTTACGCCGGAAATACCAGGAAATAATGCGTTACTTTCATTTCTTTGTTTCCCCTTCATTCCCCTGAGCGCACCTTCGATGCTTCACTGTATACAGGCCCACCCCCTCCCCTAGATCGATACCTGTTCATTCCACGCATGTAAACACCGGGCCCAGGCGCGTTTCGCAACGGGCCAACAGCCGTTTTGTTATATACTCGAGCCCGAACTTTTGTCGTAAACTATACGCTTTATGCGCGGATAGAGAGAAAACGCGGCACGCATCTGTACGGGACGATTAGGCGGTGCACGGTGAAAACCAGCAGGGTGAGTTGGGACAGCAGAAAGGGAAAGACAGGGGGTGAGGAGGAACGCGAATAAAGGGAAAAACGAGGACGCAGAGAGACGGACGCGACGGAGGAACAGAGCCGCGTAGGTGAAAGAGAGAGAGAATGAGAGAAAGGGAAACGGAAAGAGGTAACGGAGGGTGTGTCGGGGGTTGGTTTCAATTAGGAGGCAGTAACTCTCCCAGGCATTGTTCATTTCACTCTAGATTTGTATTCCCCGTTTGTTTGTTCCCTTTTGCATTTGCGTTAACCTGTGCAAAAGCGAGACCTGCCATCGTGCACGTGTGTACACGTAATCAGCCGGAGCGGAAAAGACGAACCGGCATGGCCAGAGACCGACCGGATGATCATCGTTCCAGCTCCGGATCATCGTGATTTTTCGAACTGAAAAAAAAAAGGTTCATTTTGTTCCCCTAACATTGGAGAACCGAATGCGGGAGGAATCATTACGAGCGGGGGAGTGTTCGCATTGTGCGGATGGGTAACGGTGAGTTTTCTTCGTGGATGAGTTAGTTACGTTTTTGTACGTTACAATTGTACTGAAACCGTGTTTGCATAATCATCCTGCTTGTAATTCTACGTAACACAGGATTTGTATACAATCCCAGAATCTATACAATTATTGTAGGAAAATGATTGCGCGCAAATAGCTTCTCAACGTAAATCTTTAATAAATTCGTGCAAGATGACAAGCCTAAAAATTTGTAGATGAAACCTAAAGATTGTTGGTCGATTGGTATTTGTTTTATAAAAATTGTCACATTCGTCTCCCCTATCCGTACAATAATGACAGCGGTTCAAGCCAGAATTCAAGTGAATCACCTTACTTAATTAAGATCTGAAATGATTACGTATATGTATACCCATTGGATGCATATAGAAATGAACATTTTCAAACGATTAGCCTAGATTCGCGTCTCTGCCGGGGTATTAATGAGTTCTCGGGCCGAAAATGTACCTGCAAATCGCCAGGCCATACGATGTGCTGGGGTGGAGTAGCTCTCGTTCATCCAAAGAGCGTGGGGGCGGTAGGGAAACTAATATAGAGACTTATACGCTATTTTATGGGTTTACAGTAGACGCGTCGGGTTTGAATGTTTCTTCGCGAGGGTTGCCAGCCTCGTAACGAAATTCTCTCGGCTAACTTCGTTGCTTTCGCCTCCTGCGTTCTTCCCATTCAACTCGTAAGAAGTTTCGGTTATGCACGCGGCCATATGACGAAATAAACGGAAATTTCGAGCTTCGACGATCGTTAGCGACGCGACGCTCGTCGTATTCCATGGCCGATGGGAACAAGCGCGAACGTCGTCGGCCAAGATTTATCGAACATTATAAATGCGCATACCTCGTGAGGCCTTCAGGGAAGGGGGGAGGAATCGAGAAGCGTTAGAAACGAGAGGTATCGATTTTGCCCTGGTCGCGGTGACAGTCGACCGTGCAATCCTGAATTTGTTATGCGAAACGTCAATGCATGCAGTTTCGCTGGCGCATCGTGACGTAAATCGATCCCGCCAACATTATCACCGATGACGTACGCATTTCCGACGTATTTCTACACGAGGTTGCTCGTTCGTGGATCCTAGGGGTACTAAGACGATAGCCAGGTAAACGTTTCTGGAAAGAAACCTCAAACTCAGATTCTACTTGGACTAATCGTAAATAACGTATCTAGGCCGTAGAATTACAGTCAATGGGCTGAAGGTCGCGTTCTCTTAACCCTTTCATTCCCGAATTATATAAAAATTACCAAATAAATATTCTGTTGTTTTTTCCCGTATGTTACAAGACGTACAAATGATTTTAACATTTTGAAACCGTCTAATACTCACAGACATGAAGGACTACACGATACTAATATTTTATTTCGTAATTTAAAAATACGTATCCACATGGCAATAGTAGGAACGAAAGGGTTAACAAGTCCCTCGGCTCGTGAACGTCTGGCGAGTAGAAAAATGAGCTCGGGAAAACCGTCCAGCCTGGAAAGAAAGCGAAAGCATTTCACCGTAGAAACGATTCTCGCCGCAAACGCACGCTCAAGGAAGTCGGGATTATTCCTTGTTCCATGGCTCCGATTCCGGGTGGTCTCTTCCACCACCATCATCGTCCACCCCCTCCAGTTTCAGAACCCAACCCCCGTCGGAATGTTCCTCCTTTTCGCATCGGAACGCGAAGTTATCAGGGCTAATTTTTCGCCTTTGTCGCATCCCTCGGTGGCCACCATCCGGTTCGTTACTCGTGTTTAGCCGGCACACTGTTTTTAATAACCTAATGGCTCTTACGCGGTACATTATGTCGGCAGCGTCCCTTTCCCTAACCCCCTTGTAACGGGTCCGTCAACCCCCACCCCGTGGTATCTTTCTTTGTGTCCTTTTTTTTTCGTGTCTACGCTCTTTTATTTGCGTATTTTTCTTTTTTTTTTTTTCGTTGAAACGACAAAAATATCCGGCTGTTCTCTCTCCTTTCCTGCTACTTGCTCGCCGCCCTGCCTGGCTACTTGCTTGCTTGCTCGCGGCATACAAAACTTTTGTCTGAGCGAAAGGGTGAAAGGAACGTGTGGATGGGGACGAAGCGCGGGGTAAACAAGACAGAATAGGGAGGAGAAACTGAGTGCTTTTTCTCGAATCGAACAAAAATCCTTTACCGTTCCCCCATCCCACCTACTTTGTATACTCGTTCGAACGGATCGGTCGAAGAAGAAGCGATCACGCTTAACTCTTCATTCTTCCCGGTTTCAATCGGTAGAGAAATTCACCCGTGTTCCTGGTCGCGCTGAAAGGGCCAGGGGGGTGGATAAAGCCACTGAATATCTCTTGGTGTAATTAGCCCCAAGAGGGATACGGACCGCGCCATTCAACCGCGTTTAAATCGATCATGTTCCATTTACGCCCTACCCCTAGTATTTTCACGACTTCCCGTCGATTTGAATTTTCAGCGCTGTGTTTTCGCAGGAGAATCAGTTAGCCGTTTAACGATCAATTCAGGTTATAATGATTACACTTCATTTATCGGTTCAGGTTACATTAATAACCTACGGCCGAACGTGTCGCGTCGTTTCGGTCAGAGGGAATTGAAATATTTGAAATATTAAAGAGGGTATTACTCTGGAGGGAGAGCGTGATTCACGGATATTGAGAGCGACAAATTTCCGATGATATCCAGGCACTCCACCACGGTGAAAGTCACCGACCCGGAATGGGCGAGGAATCATCGTGGGAATTATTCTCATTGAAAATCTTCTGGTCCGAATCACCGTACACCCTTTCGTGGAAATAGCTCCTGGCTCGTTTCATATTACTTGTCCCACTTTTCCTTTGTCTTGGTCTCGCGTTTCATGGCCAAAACCCGTTTCCTTCACGGACCTCCCGCTAGATCGTCTATGGAGCGTTAATTTAGTAACTCCATCGACTCGAATTCCGAGCAGCGAATTAATTAAAGATCGACCTGGGCACCCACGAACCTTAAGAACTTCAATAATTATATAATTTCGTATAACGATCCAAAAATCACGAATACATTCCATCCTGAAAATTTTCTGCGTTCGAAATGAACCTTGTCGAACGAGACACGCGTTTTTCTGTCTTTTTTTCTCGGCCAGAAAGGGTTGATTACGATTCAGGGTGCAGGTCCGGTGATATTTCACCTGCTTTCGAGGCTTTACGATCGGACGTTTTTAATTTCCCGCGCGCGCACACCTCAAGAACGAACCGGCCGAATGCAAATTGTGACAGTGGAAAGTTACGCGCGCCGTGAAATTAATGCTTTTCCGAGATCGGCCGACTTAATAGATCGTTGCTCGCCCCCGTTTCGGTCGCGAATTTATTCACCTTCGTCCCCCTCGTCCGGAGAGCTTAATTCGAGCTTGAGCACGCGGTCGTAAGTAACGCGAGAACAAACGTGTCGCAGGTGGAAGGATGAGGACGATAAGGCTGGTGGTCGATCTTTTGGATTACCGTTCTCGAGCCTACTTTCTTATTTGCGTCATCTGCGTCATCGTGGTACCGATCGTCGCCTCGAGCCATGGGGATAAGAATGATCACGCGAGCACGTACGAGAAGAAGACTGAGGAGGGATCAGCGAAAAACCTGAACAAACCGAAGCTTTCCACGCACGATGAAAGCAACGAAGCCTCAGTAAGTAAATCTTAACTATTCCCAGAGAAATCGGACACATTTAAGACTTTGTTGAAACTTGGATATGTAAAGCTCATTTTGGTTGCACCCACAAACCTTTCATCGAAGAAAAGTTACCACTATATTAACAATTCCGAAAATTTTCAAAAATCCTTTGAGTTACATTTACATATTACTAAAGACTACAACATATCCAAGTTTCAACAAAATCCGAAATGTTATTCCAAAAAGTGTGCGTTTTCGCGTGGAATGATTCTGTACCTGGTTTGCACCTGTCACTGATCGAGGGATAAAAATGTTGAAGATAGACTCTCTCAAACGTTCCAGAAAGATTCACCTGTTCGACAAAGAGTCAGAGTACTCTGGTTCGTGCAACACGTGACCGACACGAGTCGGACAGACGTTCTCCTTCGGACACGGTTTTAATATCTCAACCGTTAATTCCTTTTTCGCATGGAAACATATTGTTCCGTCTCACTTTGTCTTCGCCGCGGCACCCCCCTCCCCCTTCCTCCCGTTCACTGCCTTCCTTTCCCCAGCGTTTCGTCCTTACGCCCGGATGACAAAATGACAAAGGGGTGGTCGCCCCGGGGCCAGCGATATTACCGTTTCCGTTTCGGAACTATGCGAACTGTCTACACCCCCTCCGGGCCGCGTATTACCGGCCGAAAACGTCTCGTGATTGATTATGCTCGCCGCGCTTTTGGCTCCTATCGTCGGTCCCTCTTCTCCTCGATTGATGGAGAACCGACCACCGAAAGGAACCGCCGCCACACCTCGACGAACGATCGAGATGTCGTTAGCGAGTCTTTCAAGAAACGGAGGGGTGGTTCTCTTCAACTTTCGCGGTAGTGGTGTGCACAAAGTACGTTTGGAGGATCGTATACACTCCACATTCCAAACCAGAGACTCGGTGGATACAGGGATAAAAGGTTTCTCCGATATCGAATCACGCCCCTTCTCCCCACCACCCCATAAATGAAGTGCTAATGGGTCCGACCGACACGCGGTACGAAACCAATAACAGATTCACACGTATTCCTCGCGGCATGCAAATGAAACGGTAGGATTTACATAACATTCAACAAGTGATCACAGGTAGGATGGGGCGGGAGTATCAAGTTTCATTTGGGAACGAACGATGAAGGTAAGACCACATTCGCGAGAAGAATCCCAGTACCAACGAAATCTTTACAGCAGTCCGTGGCGAACAATATCCCTCCCCCGAAAAAAAAGAGGTACAAAGTAAAGTACATTAAAACGGGAGGGGGGGGGGTACGACTTCATTAAGGTCCGAAGAAACGGGAAGGGAAAAATTGTGGGGAAGAGATTCAGGGGATGGTTTTAGGAGGCCGGCCGCAGACACGACCTCTGCGCGTCAGGGGGTTGGAAGATGGCGAGTGTTTATTTAGTTAAATGCCGCGTGTAATTGGGTGTAAGACTTTTTTTTTTGTTCGGTGACACCGACGACAACGGTCGGTTGGGTGGTACGAAAAGGGCCAACTGGAAGTCTCTCTCTGGCGAGGGGCACACAGAGAGCAGTCCTGGCGTTTCCACGGTCGAGCTTTCCACCCCTTTTTCCCGCTGCGTGCTGGCAGCCACCTGATGGCTGGCTGGCACAAGGGCCCGCCGGGAATGAGATGCAGATTGCCAGAGGCCACTTCAGCCGCTAGAGGGAGTGAATTTTTAATAACACCGTGCCCGTATCCGCGGCTGCCCCGCGCGTTCTCTCCCGCGTACAATCCCATTGTCTTGGCCGCCGTCGTACACGTTGGAAAAAGGACGAGACGCGTAACGGAAACCGCGGCTGGTATTATTATTACAGCGAGGAGAATTGTCAGCGACAGGACATGCCCGAGTCTATGGGAACGTACCCGAGAACTTTCTTTTTCGTTCTTGAGTAAAACGTCTTTTTTTCTCGTGGACCATGATTCTGTGGCCCGACGACAACAGGTTGCACCGCGTAATTTCGTTAAATTAGAATATTCTGTACTCTGGTGTTTTGTAACTATCTACCTTTCTGATCTGTATCATAGTAATCTTACGACCTTCTATAAGGCAATCTCTTAATTTCTTCGTACCTTTTAATCGAAGTTCTCGATTTAACTCTGCCTAATAATTTAGTGTTATTTCTTCTTCTGGTCTGTGTACCATTGAATTTGTCTCAGAACATCAAGAACAACGACATCGATAGCGGTGCTCAGTCGCCAAAGATCAAGAACGGGAACAGTGTCGCGTTGAACAGATTCTTGGAGAACGTTCTGAAAGCTAAGGACGATTTCAAGTGGATAGATCGGGCTGTGTATGAGCTTCATCACGCCAAGGATTTGGAGAAGTGAGTCTGATCAGTTCGTAGTAATTATTAGCGTCACGTCTGGTGAATAAACAAATGGGAAATTAGAGTGTTCGAGTTCTTTTGTAATTCTGACGGAACACTCTTTTTCAATAAGATCACCGTCAGTGCTGCCACGTGCAGCAGGATCCTCCAGGCCGGTTAATGTCAATCGTGGCAATAAATTAAGGGGAAAAAGGGGCTTCGATCGGAGCCTCGAGACGATGTCGATGAGGAATGAAGATCCTCGTGTTTCGAACGACTACGTGATTAAAACGAACGTCGACTTCGATGATCCCAATGTGTCACAGAATAGGTACAGAAAAGTAAATCATTATAGTCGAGTGAATGTAATTAATTATATGTTACACGAAACGCATGCATATGTTACAGTAGAAATAAAAACGAAGATCCTTCTTCCATGAAGAATGAAGCAGGAGATCGAACAGGCGATAAAATACCTAAAGGCTGGACCAAAACCGAGGATATTTGTTCCTTGAGCGACTGGTTGAATTCGGACAATGAGCCCGAGACAGAGGAGGAAAAGCGAGGCGAACGATGGATCCGTGCTTTCGAGGCCAATCAGAAAAATCATCTTGGTAAGGGTTCGATCATTTTAATATTACCTTAAATAGGTCTTGGAAATAAATCTAACAGAATTAACCTTAGATTTCGATGAATGTTCAGTGGACAAGTACAAACCTAAAAATCAACAGAATGAACCACTGTCGCTAGAATCTCTTAAAGAGACGGTGCTGCAATTGAAAAAAAGCCTTAACGGGCCTGCCAAGAAGCTCCACGACTCTGACAAGAATGTAGCGACTCGAAGAGTCAAAGGGGAGTCGAAAGAACGAAGAACTCGGGGAAAGAATAAACACAGAGCGACAGAACACGATGGCAGTAGTACTCGTGAGTAATTCACTTTTCGTTCAGCGAAAGAGCTGAGTCAGTGGTACTAAATTTTGTATCGTTTTCTGCAGATTCCGACCAGCTGGAATCTTCAGGTCAGGCTATGTTCGATTCAAAAAATCGTGACCAAGATTTCGACGATAGAAATGCTCGATCAAGGGTGTGGAGAACGAAGAGGACCGAAATTAATAACGACGACGGTAACCAGAAACTCTTTGGGGAGCCTTACCTTGAAGAGGAGGCCCTGAAAGAGCAGCACTACCGTAAAAGACGCAGCAAAGGGACTCCGTCGAATAAGAAGCGTTATAATAACGAAGTCCCGGACAAGAACAACATCGAGGAACAAAATTCGATGAAAATCTTCGTAGAAGCTGATTGCAACAATAGGGATGATTCCGTTAAAAGTGATTCTTCTTCCAACGATTTCCAAGGAAACCATCAGCCAAGTGATACCAATGATGTTTCGAAAAATTCGAAAATCCCGGATGGAAATGAAAATTTCGAACAATCGTATCCACCTCAGCGTGATTTGACCGTGATGGAGAACAAGTTGACGAAGAACGAGGAAACAGGTGAGAATCTCGAGGGAAATTCTTTGCAAACCTTTGGATCCTTGACGAATGAAGTGCAGCCTGTTCCCATCGAAACCTCGGGTAGTCGGAGTACAGACGGCGAGCAAGACGTTAGTGTGGCAGGAACGCAGAAAACGGAAAAGAATCAGGAAAATGTCGACATGGGCAACGGGGAACAGGTGATCAAAGTATTTGAACCTCAGGGGGGTCTGTATCAGAACAGTGAACGCACAAAGGAAGTCCAAAGAATCGAGTCGAATGAGGAGGCTGGAAAATTGTCTCAGAAATCGATAGGGAACAAACGGTCGTCGGAGGAATCGGGAAACATTGATATTCTTGTGAAATCCGAGAACAAGAATCTGATCGAATTCAGCAACAGTGGCGGCCAGTCATCCTCGGATGAACAGCCGTTCGTCTTGAACAGGTTCGACATGAGGAAGAAGCTGATCGTGGAGAACGACAGGCAACCTGGTAAAACGATTGCCACGGTTTACAACATGAAACTGGAGAAAACGCAGGTTGACACGCCTGGAAAGGATAATCGAAAGCGCGAGGACATCGTCCAAGCTGGGGATGGAACTCGACTTGTCGATGGTTCAAGTATATTCGGTTTTGGGAAGAGTAAACCCGAGGAAGATTTGTTTAAGGATACGTTCCAATTTGTCAAGGAGGCGAAACCGAAAAAAGATGATCCAAATGATGATCCAAGGAACGTGGAAGTTGCTAAAGAATTTATTCCAAGCGTAAATGCTGAGCAGTCTCGAAATTTGTACGAGAGTATAGGCAGTAACCAGATAAGCATGGACTCGGATCAGACTTCGGTAGAGAAGGATAAGGAGGAAGGTGTGAAAAATAAACCTGAGAATAAAGAGGACCAAAGTGGTGAAGATAAAAAAGAGAAAATAGTAGAGAATATCACTCCATCGTCTGAGATTGCTTCTTCCTCGACTGCCACGAGTGTTTCTGCTCTAAAAAGCGAAGCTCGTCAATACGATGGAACTAAAAAGAAGAAACATCATGAGATAGTGATAGTTGACGACAATACGGTGGGTCGAAAACTGAACCATGCATACAGTCAGAGGAGGATACTTCAGTACATGGAGTATGCGAACGACGACGTCGAGGATGCTGAGGTGAATTACAACGATAAAGAGGAACAGGATAAACAGCAAGCTGGAGAAGTTGGTAAGTGATCTTAATGTTAGCTGTAATCTATTGAATATATGACAGAAGATGACCTGACTGATTCCTAACTTCATGATTTCTTGAAATTACATCTCCAGGGAGCGAGATGGTGTCCGAATAAACGGGGATAAATATGATAATATAATCTATATCTATTTATCTCTTTTATTTTTGTTTTCTACAATTCAATTAAAAAACTTTGTTGCTTTCAAAAACTGGTTTCAGAAGATAATACACCGTTGCAACGGAAACAACGATTCACAGCGCGCGAAAAAGACAAGGCGAAGGTAAACATGCTGATAAAGAACAAGCTGAAGAAAAAGCAGAAAACGAAACGGGAGAACGTGAGAAAGAGACGGAATCCTATCAACTTCATCGCGTACTACGATTACGACGACGACGACGACGACACCGAGCAAGACGTTCACGGCGGCGTACAGGAACAAGTGAACTCAAATTCCCAGCAGGACGTGATCGAATCCAACGTGGGGCTCGGTAAATGACGCGTGCACTTCCCGATCGTCGAAAGTTCAGAACCGGGACTCCTAAGGTCTCGCGTTGGTCAAATCTCGAGTGAACGTTTCCCGTTTTCGTTTCACGTTTGAACGTAAGAAAACCAAAGAAAAAGCCCACGTTTCCTTTTCAACCATGACAGAAGCTGCCCACGGAGCCCATATACCGGTCAAGGTCGACCAGCAAGAGGAGGAGATGCGGAAGCAACAGAGACGGAAGGAAAAATTAAAAAACAAAGGCCGAGTAACGTTTTACGTCCCCCCTGGTGACAAGTTGGAGTCGTCGAACTACACCGAAACTGCGAAGAATCCAAATGAGTCTTTCGAATTTTTCAAAATAGAGTCACCAGAACTGGATGGATCACTGGGCAAGCCGGGAAGATCAAATCAAGGCGAAAACAACGTGAACGGCATGAATCGCGGGAGGTCAGCGGTAAATTCTCAAAGTTGTCGAATTTTAAACAGTGATGCTGAATTGAATGATCGCTACTCGCGAGCTTCGTTCGGTTGATTCTACGATTTTCTCAAGGTCAAATCAACCGTTTCACGGACAGAATGAGAACTTACCGAACAATGACAGGGATGAAGTCATCGTGGAACCGGTGAAATATATTATAACCGTGGATGACAGGGTGATTCCCGAATCTGTCGACAATATCATCGACGATTTTCAATTCATCGAACACAAGTACGTCCTGCTCCATGCTTGTATCATAACTATACTGCGGATTTTATGTATTTATGGCGTACTGGATTAATAAATTTTAGTATGATTTTTATTCCATGTGAGACTTCATACTTCAAGGGAGTAAAGAAATTGTTGTTTGTATACAGTTTCTGGAAATAAATCTCTAAAGATCGACATTTGCATAAATATCCGCAGTCTAATCGTGACATCGCCGTTGTTTGTATTTCTGCAGAGACGATAAAATGACCAAGGACGTGGAACCGTTGTACGAGGAGCTGAAGAAGCTGTACGATTGGAACGACGAGGAAGTGAAAAGTAAGCCGAGAATCAAGGGTGATCAGAGAATGTACCACGAACCCAGCGACAAAGTGGATACCACGAATACGTTCGTCGAATCGTTCGAGAATCAACTGAAGAGTCCAGAAACGCAGAATTCGTATCGTGCTTCCGGTAAATATTAACAATCACTGAGAGTTGGGTAGCATTTTGTACGAATAATACGATAGTTGAGAATCAGCATTATCTAAGGTCATCTTGAGCTTTAAACAGTTAATGAGATTAAATAATTGTTCTCCAAACGTTTGTTTTTCATTCATTCAAAAAATAGAAATATTTTATTATAAAAATTAGAATTTCCACGTTTAAACGGTTAAAAATGACAAAGTACCTTTTTCTTTTATTTGTTATTCGAAACTCTTTTGCTAGATAATGAATTTGCCCCTCTTTGAATCACGTTGACACGCATGCAGATCAACTATTCTCGTTCAGATTCTAGCCCAAACTTGTTGCCCCTTTTGCTCGTTCATGATGGATCAGGGAACACAGAGATCGAGGAGACTTCGTACCCAGTCGCATCAGCCGAGCAGCTGGAAAGCCCACCAGCGCCGTGCAACCGTTCCCAAAGTAATTATTTCGCCCTTAAAAGCACGGACGATATGTTTAAAGGCGGGTCGGAGCAAGTGAACAGCACCCAGGAAAAGTTACGAGGACCGAGCAGCGCTATCAGGACCAGCGGTGGTGCTGAATCGCGGGCAAAAAACGTGCAAAAAGTAAACTTAAGCATTTCCAATAAATTATTGCTCCTCGACTCGGTGTCTCGCCCTCTCTCTCTCTAAAAATCCCCGAATCGCAGGTGAACGAA